CTTATATCGTAACTAGTTTCGAAATAAGCTGAAATAGTTTCGGTCACATGTATAATAACTACCATAAGGTCAGTAGCATAAGGTGATAGATAGCATAAAAGTTATTAAAATCGATTGGTTAATTATGCATATATCATCTGACTAGAGATTGTCTCGTTGAGAAATCTATACGTTGGTATTATTAAATTACCAAGTTATTCTATTTATTATAGTTAAATAATAACAATTCCTCTTCGGGTATAATCTCTACATCTGACTTTGAACGAATTGATATATAATAATTAGCCAATCGGAATAAAGCCTATTATGCTACCGGTAGCTACCGCATACCGCTATCTACCCAGTAGAAAGATCAACATATGCAGTAGATATCTATATTTAAGTCAAACATAATACCTGAAGGACTAAAGGGGTTGTCACCAAAGCCATGATACACTCACTACCAGCCATTATAAGTCTCGTGGGAACAGCAGAGAAAGAGTTGGATAGTCCATTTCTTAAGTCTTCTCCGGATTGAGAAGATTGTACATCATTATTAAGTTTAGAAAGGACATTCCCCAATTTTAATCTATCCATCAAACCAGCAACTCGTACTTTAATTCCAGGGCCAGTGGATAACGTTTTGGTCTTTGATGATAAAGTAACACGTTGAACGAGTTGTTGATCAATAATATTGTGAATTTCAATAGTATTATTGCGAAGCAACGCAACAGAATAAGGATAATCAACGCCTGTACGTAAATTAATGGATAAATATTTCATTGATATTATTTATGAATAAATCAATATAAAGCAAGTACCAATTGCCCTTGGAAAACTTTGCCATTCTAGAGTCCCTCTGACTGGATCGCATCCGAATGACATAAAGTGACCTATTGTCGTCTGTATAATTTAGTATAATTAAGGAATCTAATATCGTATTATGATTATAACCAATAATTGAAAATGTAAAAATCATAAGACTAAAAAATGTATGAAATTAGCAAGGATATGACCAGAATTGAGTGGCGAAACCAACAGAAACTCTTTATCCGAAATTATTGTTATTATTGGCCTGAATTGTTCAATACCAGCATCCGCATAATCCATAAGAGGTATCATACGTTTCTCTTGCAAATTAATCACCTTATATTGATGATGATCTGCTGCACATACATAGGGACCATATTAGTGGATCGGATTTCATGAAACAACCAAATAATGATATTGTACATGTAAATTGTGATCAAAATGAAAACATT